ACGCTGAAAATGACAATTCCCCTGAACATTCAAATAAGATTTTTTTTTTCTTATTCTTACTAGAATAAATTTGAGAGTATTGCAATCGAACAGAAATCCAATCACCTTTATGTTTTGTGTGCTTCTCAAATTCAACTAGTTTTTGGAATCAAACACAATATTCTAACTCTATTGATTAATTGATCTTCGCCGGTTAACGAATGGCACCAAGAAATGTGCAAAATATTGCGATGCAATCAATTATTATTTTGCACCTATAAATCGAATAAAAAATACAACTCCTTTGAAATTTTCGCTTCTAGCAAGGGTTGCAAGATAATTTAGAAACAAATCCCTGCTGCCGAATTCCCAACTAACAATTTTCACAATGTAAACGCTTTGCTCATTTCATTTATACAGCCTCAAGCTGTATTCAAACGTTATACGATATGAGGAAACCTTTACTCAACCTCTATACAAGCAAATCTGGCGAACTTAGTCAGCTACTTATGGCTGTTGGAACGGTCGGGAGAAGCTCTTATTGCATATCCATTAACGCTTCTATACAGCTTTTATCCTGCTGTTTAGTTGTGTGTGAACTTGAAAGGCGCTTATTCAACCTTTTCCCGGTTATCCAATAATCACTACACAGCTTTCTCTTGAAGCCGGGTTAAATACTGTTTACGCTTTTTTATGAAGGAATTTATTGAGTTTATTTGGCTGTGAATCAAATTAATCGAAATTAGTTACAAATCATCGCCTAATTATTTACCCAGCACCGGAGAACTTGGAATCGAACTCGAGACGACCTCATTGGCAAACCTTGACACTACCAACTGTGCTACGCCAGCACTTTGAACTTATGTAAACAAATCAACATTCCCTTCTACAACAACATCGCTGAGTAGAGGCTTTATAATAGTGCACATGAATCACTTTTCTCGACTAGTTATAAAAGAGCAGAGTAAAAGCTGTAAAACCACAAACGAAGTGACAGATGGAGCGGCTCGAAAACTTTGGTGACTAACCTGCTATTTCAATTTTTCAGTGTACTACATGGCAACACTACTACTGGATTGTACTAGCAATTTCACCAAATGTATTAGAATATTTTGGTTCTATCTCTTTCACTCTACTCAAAACTGAAATGCATAAAAAAAATGACAAAATGATACACTCTTTGCACACTGTCAAAGAATCATTATACACTAAATCAACTTTGTTCAAATCAAAACAAAAAAACTAACCCATCTGGTGGATGATGGCACAAGCTTCCAAGAAAATTCTATTACAGTGAACCACATTATTTTAATGGATTTCTTCGCCAGTTAGTCGTCTGTCACTTCGTTTGTGATTCTAACTCTATTGATTAATTGATCTTCGCCGGTTAACGAATGGCACCAAGAAATGTGCAAAATATTGCGATGCAATCAATTATTATTTTGCACCTATAAATCGAATAAAAAATACAAGTCATTTGAAATTTTAGCTTCTACACGAAACGAAAATCAATTATTTAATTCATGTGTTTCACTTATACATTTTTGCCAAAGCATCAGCCTTATACATTCCATAAGACAAACCACATAGGTCCTATTAGAATGCATAAAAGCTATGTGTAACCGCTTATACATTTCATTTGACACATGATTTTTATTAACTTTTGCAAGGCGTCTGCCTATTAATCGACTTATACAATTTATGAATAATCAGTAATGGAAATTTGCCAAAAGGTATAAGGAGATTTCTATCCGTGTAGCAAGGGTTGCAAGATAATTTAGGAACAAATCCCTGCTGCCGAATTGTAATTTGTTTTCTCCGCCTATCTCTCCCTCTGAGTATTTCTAGTTTTGACAGATGGGATCGCAGCTTCCACACCTTCGTACACACTTAGATTTGTTTGCCGAGATTGGCACCACCGAGCAGGCTCGTCATTTATTTTTACTGAGATCTCAGCCAAATTTATGTTTGTTAGCCGAGAATTCCCGTTTGTTAACTGAATCTCGGCAAATTGTTCACTGAGATCCAGCAAAATAGATTGCCGAGCTACTCGGTGGTGCCCATCTCGGCAATAAAATCTAAGTGTGTAGGATATCGCACCCATTCAACACACATGGGCCGGGACCAACGGCTTTACTTCCATTCCGAAGGAAGACGTGACCAGAGATTTGTATGCCACAGAAAAATCCCACCGACCTCGGCTGGGATTTAACCCAGACTCATTGGGGTGAGAAAGCAGTCACGCTTACCACTACAACACCGGTGCCATCCAAAACGGCGTTCAAAGATTTCACAAGTTTTCTCATTTTACACTTATTTTGGAGGGATAATTTTGAAAATAAACATGCAATGTCATCGAATGCATCTATCATGATGAGTAACCAGAACCATGTTGGCCATCCCGGACATTTTCCGCAACATGTGGAGCCGTTCTAAGGGTTGTTTGGGCATGTGGGCCAAACAAACCCTAGAACGGCTCCCATACACTCTTCCATCTCGCTCTCCATGCTGAATCGTATGAGTCAATCCTTTTCCCATATCATTGCATGCACCTTATGCCCTATGCCTTAATTAATTAGTTGCAATGATAGTATGGACAGTAATGGCAGTATAATATACTAATTGAATAAAATCAATCTTTACCTGTTAATAATGATCGAGATTGGTGAAATGTAAGGGAAGTTGTTAGTTGATTTTACCATCAAAGAGTTTAACAATAGGTATATTATTATGATGCTGATTAGACGAATCCTGGGAAAGCATCATCCTCGTCGTTAGAGAAACCTCTGAAATCTGGGATATTCTTCGGGGTCTTCGTATTCTGATTCCACCATTTCAGTGAACAATCTTGTCGTGGCTGTTTTACACTCGCTTAGTCGCTTCAGTTATTAGCCACCTCTTGCCAATAATCCGCCGATCGACCGCTTCCATCGTGCCATCGTGCCTGCGCTGGTCTTCCAATTTTCCTTTTCTCCGGGATCCCATACTAAAAGACTTTCCAGATCATCAGGAAAGTTCTTTTGGGATCCCGGAGAAGAAGAAAATTAATGATGGTTCTGTTTTTATGAAAATAAAATGATGTTCTATCCCTCTATCATGGCTTTATGTTGATCTAGCGTGCTGTAACTCTACTGTCTGTATCCCGGTAAAAATGCTCAGTAGCAAGAAACCTCTCGAGCTGTGTCTCATGGTCGGCTTACTACTGGGTAATCTGGAGGGGCTTCGCGATCCTCATACGCAGTACTGTCACCTGACTAAAAGTTATGAAAATTTTAAGTGACACAGTAATCAAAGGGTGAAGGGTGTATACTAATTATTTATTAATAAAAGCTATAGCAGGTGTGGATTGGATTTCTAATAGTAGTTCTATTGAATTTTATGGGTGTACAGTGGGTTTGTACTATGGGGTTTGACGTACCGTTACTGAACTGCTGCCGTTGATTCTGCTCCGCCGAAGACTACTCTGCCGATGTGCGAGCGCTCGCCGATGATACTAACAATCAATACGAAATTAACGATTTTAAATTGGCTCACTACTTGACTAGCCTATTTCTCCCAAGCAAATCGACTAACGTACCCCATTATAGTAAAAATTCCAGTACTACACTATATTTGATTTGATTCGCTATGAAAGTTTGGCAGATAAAATGAGGGGTTAGTGGATTTTCCTATGTTTCGAGGGGTGAATCGATTAGCTTGGGACCGAAGATAGTACCAGAGCTGAGCCAACAAGTTGAGCTCGTTTCTTCGGGACCTTCTGGTCTTAGAGTTACCTCTATGATGATACTAGGTACGACGAGCTTGACGTCAGGCGAATCAAGCCTGACAGGGTGGTGATGTTTGAGTTTACTTGCTAGTGGATCGGTCAACACGTCGACTTGACTTGATGGCGATCTGCGGTCTCCTGGCGTCTCCCCTCGTTGGCAAGAATCACCAGAGTCCAGGCAAGGCCGGAGTGACTCTGCTGAGAGGGGTCCTCTTTTGCGTTTAGAGCCGTCTTGGCCCAAGGAATGCGGCAATTTTGGCCTTGCAAGGCCAAAGCGAAATGCTGTCCTTTACTGTTAGGATTAATAGCCACTAAGGACCTATAACCCGACTCATGTGCTTCCTAACCGACTTAGTCGGTTGGTTCACAAAATGGCGCTGTACCGAATGGTACCACAAAAAAGGTCCTGATTGAACAGATAGATATTCCCGTGATTCACCACTCACCTTATATTACTTTAAGGACACTTAGTTTTAACGATCCGAAGCACACGAACGCCAGATACTGATTGAGGAATGGCGGTTTTCCTTCGCGCTTTTCCCATCCCATTGCTCTTCTCGTGAGACGTTATTTTCCACCCATTTTGAAATCACAATTTCGCCCGAATGTTGTTGTACCCACTGTTAGAATACTCATACCCACTGTAGTACTGTTGTACGGTTTTATACAATTTTCAAATTTAAAAGCAATGAATCCTACTAACAAATTAACAATTTTATACAACGACTACTAACCCTACTAATCCAACACCAAATAACCTTAAGAGACGTGACGGTACATTTAACAACTATGCACAAATTAAAAATCTAATATGTTTTGTAACAAACGGTTACAGTGCACATAGTTAATATCGTTGTCTTCTTCAAAACTCCATCGTCTTGATCTAAAGAAAAGAAAATCCCCACCCGATGAAAGATAGTATCAGCAACAGTTACCTCTATGGTATCCGTGTGATGTCGTATTTCAAAAGTTTTGAAACTAATAAAAAAAAATGCAGCCATTAGACCCTATTTAATTTTGACTAATTACAACAAACTTTTGGTCCACTAGTGTGCATCTTTCAAAATGTAAAGATACAGGCAAGCCCTGGGACATGGTTGCAGTTAAGCAATCCTCAAGGTTATGTCAATGCCCAGGGTATCGAATTAATGGACGCAGTAGTTTTCAAATATACCTACACGTAAAATAAAAATGTTGCTAGAATTATTAGCATTTATTTTGGAATTCACAGTGACTAGACAAAACGTGCTTCCAGTTCAAAAATAAATCGATTTTATTTCACATCTCTAATTTATCTCACAATACATTTGTTTACAGCAACAACTAAGTAGTACTAGTTTGCAACTCTTATTCCTTCCATATGGGATAATAAGCTATTCAGTGCTTCAGCTTCAAATACCTACTAGTAAATATTAAAATGTACTTTTTCTTTTCCCCTTATTCGCACGTCCAAGTCGGGAAAACATTTTGAAATATATTAATCTGCGCAGGAGAAAAAAAGAAACGAAACAAGAACTTCGAGAATTGAACACAGGAAAGAGTATATTTTTGTCCCTTTAAATCGTTTTACATATTCTCATGAAACTATAACCGAAACAAAGCATTGTCTCACTATTTATTTTGTTTGCTTCCTAGGTTCGTAAAACGAATGTACTGCCAAAAATCTAAAATCGTTAACAACAACACAAAATAAAGTTTCCCGTTGCTGAAAGTAAACTTACATCATAAAATAGAAGGATTTAGAAGTGAAGCAAAGGATCTCTCTACAATGACAATGACTGACTGGCGAACCGTTCGCCTCACGCACCTATCTACACTCTAGCGCATACTCATCGATCGTCCTTAGCTTAATAGACTTATCACTGACCAGCACCAGCTGGCGTCCGTTGGCCGAGTTGAGAAAAATCTTCTCCCGAGTGGCCACGTTGTCCCGGGTGATTCGGCGGCCATCCGGCCCTTGCAATCGCTTGTGATTCGTGAAACAGGTAGTGAGATCATCCAGGCTAATTGCCAGCAATTCTCCGCTCTGGAACGTGGTACAGTGGAGTCCGGGTCCGTTCAGGGTGGACGACTCGCTGAGGATACTATTATTGAGAAGAAGCAACAAACATGTAATGAAGAGTAATACAAGAAGGCTACAGAGTAATACTAACCAGCTTGATTCCAGTGAAACGTCATAGCTTTGGACCACGTGCCAGGATCGTTTGTTCATATTAATGGCCAAAATTTTTATAGTTTTCCTAGCCGGATTTCCTCCTGAGGACGGACACATTTGTATCAGAAACAGTGCACTGTCACCCTGAAAATACAAATGCATACATTTGAAAGAGACGATGCTGAAGAATTTATCTTTATCACTTACCTGCTCACTGTGAACGAATGAAGCCAACGGCGTTTGGATTTCCATCTTCAAATCAACCGTAAACTCCAGGCACCCGTTATCGTAGTTCCAGATTGTGACTGTGCTACTGCCCAGTCCAATAAGCCGTTCGTCGTCCAAACATTTCAAACTGACAATCTTCTGCGACACGGTTGGAAACTCCCGGATGCTAGCCAGCGTTTCCAAATCCGGCGTCAGGCTGTACTTGCACAGTCCGGTCCGATGTTCGTTTTCCGCCAGCAGCTCGTGCCAGCAAATGATGAAATAGCGGGACCGTGGCAACGTAGTGAATAGAATTTCACTTATTTCACTGAAATTAAAAAAAATGCTGAGTTAAATATAGATAACGAATTTAAGTGTAAGGAATACCTTCGGACACTGTCCAGCTGCAAAGATTTCATCCGAAGACACTGCGTATCCTTGTTCTCTTCGCTGCCCACAAAGTAGCAATTGACGTAGATCGACGCCAGGGGACACAAGCGAGCTTCGTCTTCATCCAGATTACGGGCACGGGGTTCCAAGTAGAATGCCTCATCCTCGTTGAAACCGAGTCGGTTTAAGTTGGTTGGATCAACCAACGAATCTGTACAATAGCAAAAAAAAAAGATAGCCCATCACGAATATGCTTGCTACATTTCCCGAACGTCACCCGAACTCTGAATGTCCCTTGACTTCGAATGTCATTAAATGTCCAAATGCATTAGCCTCGAAAATTGATACAACAACCCTAGATAGAGCTGGAATTAGGGCGTAACAACTTTTGTAAACAATGACTTCTTTCGATGACATGACCCTCCCTGGCAAATCAACATTACCATCGAATAGGGGAAGGCTTCCCCTACCCGTTGGATATGTTGGTTTGTGTAGGCGTGCCTTGAGTTGCTAGAAATCAACGATAGAAGTCATTGTTTACAAAAGCTGTTACGCCCTAATTCCAGCTCTATCTAGAACCAATTAAGTACCCTTTTATCTGAATAGCTCGTTGATCAGAAAATATGTTCAACATCCCTGACAGACATTATAATCAATCTCGAATATTATGAATCAATAAAATCTTGTTCATCTGTTTGTGTGTAAATTAGTAAGCTAAGTATTTGATTTCTCACATTAGGCATGAAAATGATTCTTCTACCAGATCAGTTGTTGGTATAGTTTGTTACTATGGTGGGCTTTGATTCAACGATTGAATTCATTGTTTTCAAAAGCAGTTCTACCCTAATCTCAAATCACTCTCTGGATTTTCATTGGCTTAAGACAAATTGAACCAGAGTATGTCTAAAAACTTCAACCAAAGGTGATGTTAACTCTATTCGATCGTTAAACATTGAGGTAATATTCCGACTTAAGCGACTGCTTCCCCACCCCAAAAGCGTAGTCAGGGAAAACGCGCCACTGTATACATAATATTATGTAAGCCAATAATGAGAATTACAGAAGTCCCACGTACCGCTTTGTGCACGCTTCAACTGGCCCAACAGTTGCAGCTCCTGGTTCAGTCCGAGCAGCGAGGCCAGCTTCGAGCACTCCCAGAAGCTAATCAGCTCCTGCTGCACGACGATGAGCACGTTGACGGCATAGAAAATCATCTGCACTTCGCCATTCACACGGGACAACGGATTTTTCATCGTCCTTAATTCGCTCGGCGCCGGACATGGCGGCAGGTCAACAACTTCCGGAGCGTCGCGCCGTTTGTTCTGTTCGGCAGATGTCGAACTGCTTACAGCGCTATCCACCGAAACTCTACTACTCGGTTCAACTGGAACCGGCTTGACACGACGGATTGGTTGCACCGGTTTGGGTTCCCGCTCCGTTTGAGGAACAACCTTTGCTATTTTCTGTTGCCGATTGGAACTGCTGATGAGATTGACAAATGAAGGTTTCTTGCGAATCTTTCCGCTGCGAAGAGAATAACCGGCCTTCATGACTAGCCGCCGATAGCTGCGCAAATTGGCCGAAACCACCATGATCGATTTCTTCTTTTTCAGCTGCGATTTGCGTACTTTGTAGCGAAGCTTCCTGCTAACGGGAGCTACTGACTTTGCTTTTGTTCGACTTTTACCGTAATGCGAAATCCGATCAGCTGATTTCGGACGTTCGGATTCGGCAGTCGATCGGTTCGTCGTGCTATTGTTCAGGTTCGAGTTAACCTCAACGTTTTGCAGTTTGAGCGGTGACAGAACAACGACGGCTACTTTGTTTCCTTCACCGACCGGAAGGTGGCGCATTGGTGATAGGAGATCCGGACGATACGCCGGATTGCGACGTAAGTAGCCGGTGAATTTCTCCTTTTCTTTTTCGTCTTTTAGGAAGGTAGCGTATGGATCGGCGGAAGTTTTTCCGCTTGGTTCTTTCTCCTCAGCTGTCGGATCGAATCGAGTGGGGAATTTGTAGTAGTGTTTTCGCACTTGGATCATACTTTTGGGCCCTTTATCGATTTCAGGGTTCAGTTGGCTCCTCCGAAAATCCAATTCCTCGCTCAGAAGCAAGGACGGAGAAGAACGATCCCCCACAGCAGCTCCCGAAGCATCGACGGCCATTCGTCGTTTCTTGTACTTTTCCCTTAGCTGGCGCTCTCGTAACAAACTTGGACTATCACTGGTCTCCGAGTCGGAGCTGCTATCACTACTCGAAATGTGAATCGGTTCGTCCATGGGACGTTTAACCGACGTTCCGCTTTCGATCTCCGCCACTGTTGGGATTGAACATAGGAGATCTTCCTTGGTAACGCGCCAGTGTTCCACGCGATCCTGCTGCGACATGGCTGGCACTTGTTGATTGATCTTATCCAGCATAAGGTCGAATTCCGTGTACTTGTTCCCTCGGTTGGAGGATGTGCTGGCATGGTCGTTGTTTTTCTTCATACAACCGGAACTGGACACATCCCAGAAGGAATTTGCCATAGATGACGGATTCATCTGTGCCGTCGAACTGGTGTCCGAGCCCGTCAACGTACATTGGTCCATCTGTAGTTTGACACCAGCGTTTTCCTTCGAAGTTCCCGGCATCGGTTGATCACCTGTATCCTGAATGAAAGCAGGTTCTTTATCTTCTTCCTCTGACAATTCCATACGAGTATCTTCCTCCTGAATTTCATCCTCATCGATCTCTATTGTTAGCAGTTTATTTCCACCATCTTTGATCGACCGAGATGTACTCGAACTACCTAAAAGTGCTGAATTCGTAGGAGTCCCAAGATCTCGGCAAGCAAGCTGATCCTTTAATTTCGGTTCATCACCAGCGACTGATTGCGTACAAGACAAAGTGGTATCCGACTCGGTATCAGGCTCCAAATCGATCACACCCAGCAGCTTGTACGGACGATTATTCTTCTCTTGGCGACTAGCCTTCCCGGATGTAATCGTTCCCGATTTATCGAAAGAACGACGAATTCTCTTTTCGTAATGGTTGGCGGTCATCACTGAAAAATAAGAAATAAATTAACTATCGCAAAAATCAACGAGCCTCATTGCACAAACCACCCACCTATCTTTGGTTCCGTACTGACTGGCCGGTCGCCGAAGATTACCGCAGCCGGAAGGGTACCCGGCGACGGAGGCGTATCCATGATACTGAAATAGTTATCCTTCAACGGGGTTGGATTTTTGTGATACACCCGATTTAGGATTATCCCAGAAGGGGTCGGAGAAACGGTTGCTCCCTCTTGAACCACAGACCTAGCGGTGCCGGGAAAAATTCCACGATACTCGTGAATCGAACGCCGGGCCAGGCGAATATCCGGATCGACTGCCGGCGCCATCGGAGTCGATCTTTGAACATTTATCGGAATATTGTGTACTACATGGACACTTCCCGCATCGACTTCATCTTCATCTACCAACTCAATCGTCGGAATGCTCTGAGGGCTTCGTTCCTCTTGAAGCTCGATTTGACTCAAATCCCACTCCGTATCTGCACTGCTGTCCACTCGACCACTGTTCATATCACTGTTCTGCATCCGGATTTTATTCCAGATACTGTCCCGATATTGTGAATACATTTTCGCCGCACTGCAACAACCAACACTGTCTAAACAAACATTCTTATTTTGAATCGTTTTATTTCGTCACTCGCACAGAAACATCAGGGCATCGGGGGCGACGTGCCGCTCGGAGAAAGAATCATGACAGCCGCTTCCTATAGGACTCAAAGGTGAAAATTCTGCACTTGCTGCATCAACTTTTCAATCTGCTTTTTTCGCTTTCTTCTGCCACTTTACTCCAAACCTTAATACGTCTTCGGCTCCTTAGGTACCTTGCAAACGGTGACACACAAGAAAAAGTAACGTTAATCCGGCGAATTTTCGGTAAATTTTCTTTCCACAGCAGAATAATTCACTTCGCACTGAAAATAAACACGATTTTCTTGGATGGAAAAATGAAACTTGAAAAACTGCAACTGCACGCACACAAGAAGAAGCCGCTGGGGATCTGTCAAAATCAGCATTTCAACATGGCGGATGAAACGGCGAGGTAAAGCAAGGTAAACAAATCAGTGGGGATCAGAGATTTATCTTGCCTTTTTTCCCCACACGGTGTTTCGTGAAAACCCATTTATGGGTAAAAAATACCCATTTTCAAACCATGTATGAAGCTGTCAAAAAATGGGGGAATTTGTAAATCATAAAATGGGTGAAAAAATACCCATTTAAAGAATCAGTTCACGATTGCATAATGGGTATATTTTCTACCCACTAATGGGTGAAAAAACACTTGGAAATTTTATCGTCTCATTCCGTCACCGACCATTGGGAATGCAAAAAGTTTCTGTCCGCTTTTTTTTTAGCAAAAATGGACGATCTCTGGAAAAGGTTAGATTCCGAAACGTTGGAGAGACTTACGGATAAGTCTATACAGTTGTATCCAATGTGATATTATAATATCTCGTGTTATATTTTTTTTTTCGCTACAAATGCATTTATTCTCAATGTAAATATTAGAAAAAAAATTTTATATCAACGAAGACCAGCATCCTCCATTTGAAGAAATGGGTATTTTTTTACCCATTTTACGAAAAACACAATTCAAGAAGATGGGTAAAAAAACACCCATTTATTGACAGATCCCCCATTTACCCATTAATGAGTAAACCATAGTTTACCCATTAAATGAGGAGGGGCACTTTAAGCGGAAATGGGTGTTTTTATACCCATTAATGGGTTTTCGCGAAACACCGTGCAAGGGGCTGTCGCGGATACTTTCACTATTTCTAACTACCCAAATTTGAGCAGAATCTACTCATATCGGTCAAAAGTGTAGCTATCATTCTGCCACATTTTGCTTACACCCTAAGAAACACACTTCTACCAACAATCAATACGAAACTAACGATTTTAAATTGGCTCACTACTTGACTACACACCAAATTCCTTAAATTATATTCGGTACTTTTCTGCTGAATTCGTTCCGTAAAACATAATGTTTACCGAAGGTTTTGTATTTTTTTTTTTTTTACCAATTTACAGCAATCCAAATTGCTGAACTTCCGTAAGCTACAGAAAATCACCAAATACTGTAGAAAAAATACTGAACAAAACTGTAAATTGCTGGAATTCCGCAATACTGTAAAAAAGTATGACGAATGTTCTGTAAAAAAAATATTTCGACAGTGAGCATTCATAAGGGCGTATACGCGATGATCGATTCTCTTCATCGATTTTCTCTTTTCTTAATAACTCGCTAGATTTAACGTTTGTCGGTGTGTTTGTTGTTGCTTTTGAAAGCCAATACAACCTATTACAACTCTACATTGAACAAATTCTACAAAATTGTTTCGCTTAGCTGTAGCAATGCAAAGAGAAAAACGATGAAGAGAATCGATCTTCGCGTATACGCCCTTATGCATGCTCACTGTTGATTTTAACGAAAACAAACGGTAGTGAAGTGCTGGATTTTTGCAAAAAATACCGAGCAGATTTGCGAATTCCCTACTGTTATACTCAACCTTTGGCTGCCATTTTGAAGTTGTTCTTTGGATCTCTGGTGTAAAAAAGTATTTATTCAAATGCCAATGTCCGAAAAATCATGGAAATACTTCAATATATGACAACTGTAAGAAAAGAGTTCGAGATCTTTTCGGTAAGTACAGCCCTTAAGTACCGAACGGTCTATGTTTAAATTAATATACATTTTTTTCAGCAATCACCGGCTTTTACTATCGTCAGCCTTTTCCGGTCTACGTAGAGTCAAGTTTCTATGTTTCTCGAGGAATCACTAGCATAAAACTTTCTCAATCACCATCTCATGTCAACAAAGGAAAAAATAAAAGTTTTTAACCTTTCAAATAAATTATTTGTTGTTGTTTCCATCAAATATTGAAAAAAAAACTCATCAAAAGCTACAACAAAACGTTCGGTAAACTTTACCAATTATTCAGCAATATTTACAGTGCGGATCAGTAAACTTTGACAGCTCAAGAGTGAAGTTGAATTTACTGAACGTACTGTAAAACTAAAAAATTACCGAATCGATTACCGAATGTTCTGCTGTTCCATATTCGGTAAAAAATTACAGTATACTGTAAAAAACTCTTAGTGTGTACACAGAAAAAAAAGTTATTGAATATTATACCATTGACAGACATACACACTAAGAGTTTTTTACAGTATAAAAATAAACATTAGTAAAAAAATACACATTTTTTATATTTATATGCAGCTGTCAAAAAATGTGTAAATTTGGAAATCTTAAAATGTGTAAAAAAATACACATTTTAAGAATGTAGTACCAATCAAAAAATGTGTATTTTTATACTCATTAATGGGTAAAAATAAACTTCAAACTATGCTGCATCCTGTTTCGTTGACCGGCCTTCGGCCGCTAAGCAGTGATTAACAACAGTGAAATTAAGGAACTAAGGTCCAAACTGGACAGTGCAGATGGACAAGCTAGGGTAAGTGATTTATATTATTTTCATAGCTAAGTTTAAGAAGAATTTTTTTCATAATCAAGGTTTTCATTGTCCGGTGTCTGGCTGCGATGAGTTCCGTGGCAATCTCGTTAAGGTTAAAACTCATATAAAGAGATAAATGTGATAAAGATAAAAGATATAATAAATTATTATTGTATCCGAGAATTCTTTATATTATCAGTGACACAAATAAGAAAACTCCGAAATAAATAGAAAAAAGCATGCTTTCCCATCGTATTCAATTTCTAGAAATGATTACTTTTTACACATTTTGCTGTAAAAACCGTTATTGAAAAATGTGTAAAAAATACTCTTCTATTGACGTTTGCTGGGTTTACACATAAATGTGTAAACGCAGTTTACACATTTTATGAGTAGGCCCCTTTTTTCACAAAATGTGTGAAATTTTACACATTAATGTGTTTACGCTGGTTACCGTGTGTAGTCTGCATGCTTCAATCAGATTTATTTTTATTGTTCGTGAAGTAACCCACAATGAAAACACATCAATATTTAATGTAACAACAATTTTTATTGTAATAGAGTTGTTCATTATTGTTCATGTTCGAATCATGTTAACAATAAAATAAATGAGAAATACAATAAAAATCATTGTGACAACATTTTATTGGGATTGTCTCTCTTTATTAGTTTTTGTTTGTCTTGTCCCCCCGTCTCGATGAGTCTCATCGTCGCCCACTGGTCACCCACCATAGCCGGTCGAACTCCGGACGAAGCTAGAACAGCACTACCGTTCATACTGGCGACAACGCTCTGATGAGACAACGAAACCCTACCCCAAGCTCCTCCCCTGATCCTATCCTTCGAAAATGTACCCTTCTAACCTCGAGTAAGCCGCGAGTAATCGGCCCAACTCCTACTAGACATAGAATTAAGTGAATTTTGTTACACACAGTGAACAATGAATTATCGGCTCCGTAAAGCTAACGCGATTGAGCCTCCCAAATAAACGAACTAGATAAAAAAAAAAAACATTTTATTGTGTACATTCATTGTACAGCTAGGTAGCAGTTTTGCCGTTTTCGGAAGGGTACAACATTATAACAATCATTTTTATTGTCGACAATAAATATTAATGTTAGAGCCAAGGTTAGAGCATTGTTTCCACTGAAAATTTCACTGTAATTTTTTTTTCGGGTACACACAAAGAAAAGTCGTTTATAAAATTAAAAAATCCATAGGTAGATTTAAAAGTTTGCATTGGTTCTTTTTGGTAGGCAGCGGTTAGCTTTCAAAATAAAAGTCAACCAACCGTCAATTCAAAAGTTGTCCGCTCGATACTTTTAAAAGTTCATATTTTCAAAATGAATTGTAGAACTGTCAAATGAAAAATGTATTAGTGTTTAAATTAATAGTGGATTATTTTTGACTTGAAAATGTGGCAAAGTTAAAATTAAATGGGCATTTTGAATTAACTAAAATATTTTCAAAAAATATTTATTAGACAAAAAAAAATATTTTGGTTTTAATTTTAGTGGATAAATATTCAATCTTCTTTATTATTATTTTTCAATAGGATAAGATCCAAATTGTTTTTTTACATTGTTATTGTTATCTTTGTTGATGTTTACGTTATTGCGTCTTGGAGCTATTCTCGCTTTGAGTAAACCTGCTACAGGAACAGGTACATGGTGATGTCACAGATGCAGGGTTAAGGACAGAAGACAACCTCCAGCATTGTCAGCAGCGTGATTGTTTACCGGTGGAGATTTTACGGCAGCAGATAGCGGAAGGAAGGTGTCAAATTAGACCGTTTTCGGTGAGGGTTTCTGTGGAATATTAATTAAATATTGTTATATACCTTTAACATCTACTGTTGTAGTAGTCGTCGAACACTCACTTTCATTCCTAGCCATCTCGTCCGCTCGCAGATGACTATTGTTTCGGTTTATCTGAAATTTATAAAAATCTCTAAATAAACTCTACTTTTGTTCTTAAATTTGATCGCTTACCTGATGCGATTATTATTTTCCACGGAGGAAAATTATTGTCCTTCCCAACTTTTCCTCGCTCTTCGTGACACATCTGACGTCAAGCCAAATTAAGCGGCAAAACGAGGTCCAGTACTGCCAAAAACATTGCCTAGAAAATGTATTTTTGACAGTTGAACAACTTTCATTTAAAAAAATGCACTTTAAAATTACAAGTCGAACCTGAAAGAAAAACTTTCAAACCAAAAATATAACTTTTATTTTGAATATTTTCGTTGTTAAAATTACGAAATTTAGGAAAATTTTAATTTGAAATGGCATTATTTTTATTAAAACAATTTTTGTTTTGTGTGTGTATGGAACGGAGATACAAAATGATGTTGGCATCACAATGGATGCGAGCCCCATCCATTATCCAATCAGAGTTTTTCCCTTGATATTGAAATACTTTTTCGTTTTTCAGAGCGAATTCATGGCAACAATCAAAAAATATTTTTTATGTAAAAGTTCCCTCTGTTTCAAAACAATCCAATACGCCCTGTAAACCTAAAAGCATAAATATTAAGCCCTTGGACGACGCACAAATTCACCCTGAATACTAATCGTTTCCCTTTTATCCCATAGCCAAGATTCCTCGAGATGTTTCTGTTATCCAAGGACACTTCGTCTAGAAATACTAAATGATACGTGTCCCAATCAAAAGAACTCATTTCCGAACATAAACGAAGAATTTCAATCTCTTTGATTTGGATGGCTCTTTTTTTTTTTTTTAATTCTTTATTTAAGAGATTTTTAGCCTTAGGCTAGTTCATCTTTAAAATTTGGATGGCTCTGCGTTCTAATACCTTCCACGTCAATCCTTCGGCATGCAAAATTGTACCATAGAGGTAACTCTAAGACTAGAAGGTCCCGAAATAACGTGCTCAACTTTTTGGCTCAGCTCTGGTACTCTCTTCGGTCCCAAGCTAATCGATTCACCCCTCGAAACATATGAAAAACCAAGTGAAAAACCAATAACCCCTCATTTTATCGGTCAAACTTTCATAGCGAATCGAAACAAACATTGCGTAGTACTAGAATTTCGACTAGAATGGGATACGTTAATCGTTTGCTTGGGACCAATAGGCTAGTCAAGTAGTGAGCCAATTTAAAATCGTTAGTTTCGTATTGATAATTTTGTTACCCATTAATGGGTAATCGTCAAACACCGTGAAGAATTATTGAGTATTTTGCTGTTACCGTGTACGTTACTACTAGTAAAAGACCCAATAAAACCCTCACCCTGCTGCTGTCAAAATCATAACGTAAATACAGTAACGACATAAATTCAAAAAAATCAAGTTCACGCACTTTTAGCGCAAGTTTTAGAAAGACTTGAACATTAGTTAAAAAATTTCATGTTTTCCGCTTCTTTCGGAAATATTTTAGCTGTTTATCAAGAGTTCTTGGCATCGACTTAGTAAATTAGCTCATCTACAGTGCATCGTACATTTGAAAATGCCTAGCGAAATCATCACTCTACAGCTGGGCCAGTGCGGCAATCAGAGTGAGTGTTGTGTTGCGAATCTATTTTACTGTTTCCTCTTTTGTTTTGGAACAATAATCCCCCGATTTGATTCGTTGTGTTTTCGTTAGTTGGTTTTGAGTTTTGGAAGCGGCTGTGCCTGGAACATGGCATTTCCCCGTCCGGAGTGCTGCAAGATTTTGCCACAGATGGCATCGATCGAAAGGATGTGTTCTTCTATCAGGCAGACGACGATCACTACATTCCCCGGGCAGTCTTGCTGGATCTGGAACCGCGCGTCATTCACTCCATCATGACTTCGCCTTATGCCAAGGTAAAGGGAGCTTCGGGTTTTCGGATTCTAGGTGAATTTCATATTTTTGGTTGGTTTTAGCTGTACAATCCGGAGAATGTGTACTTGTCAAAGGACGGAGGTGGTGCCGGAAACAATTGGGCTTCCGGGTTCAGTCAGGGGGAGAAGCTGCATGAAGAAGTTTTCGATATAATCGACCGAGAGGCTGACGGGAGTGATAGTTTGGAGGGATTTGTACTTTGTCATTCCATTGCCGGAGGAACTGGCTCCGGCATGGGATCGTACATAATGGAGCGATTGTCGGATCATTTCCCAAAGAAGCTGGTGCAGACCTACAGTGTATTCCCAAACCAGGATGAGATTAGTGATGTTGTGGTTCAACCGTACAACAGCTTGTTAACTTTGAAAAGACTCACGAGTTGCGCAGACTGTGTGGTCGTTTTGGATAATACTGCCCTGAACAGGATTGCCGCCGATAGATTACATTTGGAGAACCCTAGCTTCACCCAGATTAATACTCTCGTTTCGACGATTATGTCTGTTAGCACTACAACCCTCCGGTATCCTTCCTATATGAATAACAATCTGATTGAGTTGATCGCTCCATTGATTCCGACATCTCAGCTGCATTTCCTCATGACTGGCTATACTCCACTGGCCACCGATACGGACACTGTCAGCGTACAGAAAACTACCGTCCTTGATGTGATGCGTCGTTTACTGCAGCCAAAGAATATGATGGTATCCACCGGTCCGGACAAGGCAAACCACCACCGCTATATTTCGATCCTGAACATCATTCAGGGCGAGGTCAATCCAACACAAGTGCACAAATCGATTCAACGTATCCGCGAACGCAAGCTGGCTCAGTTCATCAACTGGGGACCGGCGAGCATACAGGTAGCCTTGTCACGCAGCAGTCCCTACGTTCAAAGTACCCATCGAGTGTCGGGACTGATGCTTGCCAATCATACCAGCATCTGCTCGTTGTTCGAACGCGCTCTCAATCAGTATGACAAACTTTGCAAACGAGGAGCTTTCCTGGACCAATTCAAGCGGGAGGACAAATTCAAAGACGACCTCAGCGAATTCGACGAGAGCCGGGACGTTGTCGATGCGTTGGTACAGGAATACGAAGCTGCTACTCAGGCAAACTATCTCAGCTGGCACGCAAAGAAAGCTACCGGTCAGTAAGTTTGAACTTGCACCTTGAGGATTAACTGTCCTTCCCATTCTCCTCGGGTAAGTTTTAGCCGCGCTGGGGGAGATTCCTAACCTAACACGCTCCGTGCCAGCTCGGCTATCGTGCGAGCAGTAAATGCACACTATTTTGAATTACGCTTATCGATGAATAAGAAAGGCTACCGGTCTTGCCTGTGCTCGTTAAACTACTTACTATTACGAAGAAGCGCACCGACGATATACCACGAACAGCGTACGGACGGGAATCTCGAATGAATCATGAATCGTCACATTTTAGAATTAGAAAAATTGTACATTATTTGTAAAATGAATATTAACGAGTACCGCACTACGTTCTCGAATGTCATACAATTGGAGGTCTGTAACCGATGAAAGATGCACGTGCATGTTGTCAATAAATAGTGTTATAATATGAGAAGCTGTTTTTGATTTAACGTGAGATATTACAATCTTCAGCTGCTGTACTCTACCAAAAAAAAAAAAAAAAAATAGCAGCGAGGTCGGAAAAATTACATCAATTTTTTTCAAATGAAAATGTCGTTGATTCTTTATAAGGCCGAGGAAACCAAGTATGAAATCGACTCGTACTACAATAAAAGATAAGGTTCAGATGGTGTAATGAAGAAATACAATTTTATTTTTGAAAAATATTTTAATAAATTTGTATGACAAAATTTTTGGTTTTCTCTAAATAAGTTCAAAGGGGTGTGATTTTTCTTGGCGTGGGCTGAAATCTTGCCTGCTGATTAATCACACATTCAAAGTTTATCGGTATAGTTTTGGGCTTGATTGATTGAGTCTGTTGGAAGTTTAAGGAATCTTTTAACGCCCATTTTCAAACTTCTATATTTTTAATAACAACACGCAGATAAATTTAATGTATGTTGTTCATTTTTTCATTTTCAATTTATGATGTACAAGGGGGTCAGGGGCCATGTCACCGATGTGAATATTCACACCATCCATAATACACCAGGGAAGGGGAGAGGAGTGAGCAACACAGCATCTTTACCCATGGGCATTAAAAAAGTTCTGCGAGGTACACTTATGGCGAACCAGCGGCTCAGGGATTGTAGAAAGGAAAACGGTCGGGTAGGTTTAAAATGCAGAATTAGATGCCGTCACGATTGAATGCGCATGTTTAAACAACGTTGATCCAGTTACCTATCGTATAAATTTGCATATCATCTAGTTATGGTTATTGTCAATAATACTTACATTTCGATAAAGATGATACTACCTATTTTACCTTATATGTGATACTTATAATCACAGAATCCAACTTTGAATTGTAGACCAGGTCCATTAACAATACACTCGTTCCAAGAAGGGGGTCATCCTGTATAGTCAGTAGAGTGATGCAAAATTTGAAATTTTCGCTCCACAATACTAAAACGATTACAAATCGGATCCTGACTAACCTCTCAAAATTTGAACCCATTTGGTGAGAAACTGAGATGGCACAAACCATTTGAAGTTTGTATGGGAATTACTATGGTAAAACCAAGATTTTTGTTCATGTCTATCTAATAATTCACCATATCGGTCTGCTTCAAAAGCTTTCAACAGTAGGGTCAGGTGGGGCAAGAGTGCCATATGGGGCAAAAGTGCCACCTGCTTGTATCGAAGCCTGAAATACATTTTTTATATTTCTTATTAATGGGATGCTATAAAAAGCCCTTCAGATATACTGCATCAAATTTGGTTATACATTATGATGTAAATATTATCAAAAAATCTAAAAAACTTACACGTTGTCGAAAACTTCAAAATGTTATAAGAAATCGATGACATAAAATAAGCTTTTTCTCATGATTTTTCTAAGAAAATTTAATAATACGATGTAGATTTTATTGTACGGTAATACATTTTGCGACCCTCAATATATAAATACTTATTGTTGCATGTAGATCCTCAAAAAACGTATTTGAAATTCGTCTTCTCCACGGGGGCAAGAGCGCCATACTTGCCTGGGGCAAAAGAGCCATAGTAAACAAGACATATAACCTCAAAAAGTTGTCGCCTCAGAGTGAAGTTTCGAAGTGATGGTGCGTGTCTACAAGCGAAAATCGTTGCGTAAATCGTGGTCGGAACAGAATATGGTTGCGGCCATACGATCCGTGACTAAATATGGGATTTCTGTGCGAAGAGCAGCAGTGGAACACGGTGTCTCTCGCAAAACGCTATCGAAATATGTGCTGCTGGCGTTGGAACCTGGATCGCAACATTTGGGGCGCTTCGAGCAAGTTTTTTCTGTGCAACAGGAACAGGAACTAGTTGAGCATGTTATCAAACTGGAACTGGAACTGGAATTTTTATTACAACGAACAATAAAATTGCACAATGCTTTTTTAAGGCTTAATTTTTTTTAATACATGTTTAAAGGAGTACTTGACACTGTTGGTTAAATCTTTCACCTTGTTGACTAATTAAAAAGTAGTTTAAGAAGAATATAAACCGTTTGATTGCGAAATTTGGATGATTTTCTTGTTATTGAGTTATATGGCCGTCTTGCCCCATGGGGGTGGCACTTTTGCCCCACACTGTTTTTTAGCCTTTGTTGATAAGGCATATGAAAACAATTAAGAAAAAATATTTAACGTTTACATATTCAGTTTCAGATACAACAGGTTTAAGTAGAGGATGTTTAAGATTCTATGTACATCATTTGTTTAAAAAAAAGTTAGATTAACCTATGTTTATTGAAAGATTTTCTTAACGTGGCACACTTGCCCCACCTGACCCTACTTGTAGGAAATTTTCCCAGCTACAACTTTGCTGAAGACCACTTTTTGATTAAATGCAAGAATCGAAAGTTATCAATGGTTCAATGCACTGATGTCTTATGATCATGCTCAATCAACTGTTCAGCAGGCAACATTGGTGTTTCAGGGGCGTTGAATAGGACACAAAAATCATGGCTACTATGTCACACTGCAAAATACAGTGTTGCCTACAGAGCAGCTGCTTGATCATGTCATAAGTTTACCAATCTCTTAAATAATTAATAACTTTTTCCTGTCTCGTTTTACATAGAAACGATCTTAAGCAATGTTGTAGCTGAGAAAATTCTATATAAGAATGGCTATCGAACTGTTTCGCAGCTCAATATGGAAAAAGACTAGAAGGCAATGAACAAAAAGTTGAGATTTTCCATAGTAATTTACATGTAAACTTCAAATGGCTTGTGCAAAGTCTGTTTCTAACCAAATGAGTTGTAACTTTGGGAGGCTAATCAGGACCCGATATGAAACCATTTAAGCACTGTGGAGCGAAAAAGTCAAATTTTGCATCAGTCTAATAGTCATCTTCTTCTTCTTCAGGTTCGCTCACCACTCGGAATGAACGTTCAGTGTGGTTAGTAATATCAAATAGTGTTACATGCAAACGAAAAAGAGATACAGCAAGGATTAGTTTTTTAAAGTAATAGTTTCATCTAAATACCCAACTAACTATATTTAAGAGACATTGTCTCACTCTGAACCTACATTTAAAGTTATTTTGTGATTATATGGTTACTTTGGTACTCACATGAAATGTTGTGCAAGTACCACAAGTTCAACAACGACCAACTATGGACAGCTCAATGTTAATTCTATTTACTCTTTGAATCAGCGTACACCAATATGATAATCTACTAAGAAACACCTAAGAATGTATAGTAGACTGATGCAAAATTTGAAATTTACGCTCCACAGTGTTCAAACGGTATCAAATCGGGTCCTGATTAGCCTCCGAAAGTTTAAACTCATCTGATAAGAAACTGACTTGGCACAAACCATTTGATGTTTATATGGAGATTACTATGGGAAAACAAAACTTTTTGTTCATTGTCTTTTAACCTTTTTACATATTGTACTGTTAACAAATTCTATTGCTATTCTTATGGGAATTTTCATCAGCTACAACTATGAAGAAAATCGTTTTTCAGCCAAACGTCAAATTAAATAGTTATTAATTGTTTAAGAGATTGATAATCTTATGGCAAGATTAAGCAGCTATATTGTGAGCAACACTGTATTCTGCAGTGTGACATTGACGAGTGCACGGATGGATTTGAGTTCACTCACTCGACAAAAAGTGACACAACAGCGGGGCCCTGTTTACTAAAAATGAACACATATATGTTCATTTTTAGTAAACAGGGCCCCGCTGTTGTGTCACTTTTTGTCGAGTGAGTGAACTCAAATCTATCCGTGCACTCGTCAATAGTAGCCATGGTTTTTGTCCTCTATTCTACGCGCCATAAACACCAATGTTGCCTGCTGAACAGATGATTGAGCATAATCATAAGACATCAGTGACTTGAATCATTAATAACTTTTGTTCCTTACATTTGATCGAAAGCTGGTCTTCGAAAGCTGTGAAAATTTTCAAGAAGTTCAGCTATCATTTTTTAAAGTAGAGTGAACTGGTGAATTTTGAGATACATATGAATCGAAATTATGGTTTCTCCATAGTAATTCCCATATAAACTTCAAATGGTTTGTGCCAAGTCAGTTTCTCACTAAATGAGTTCAAATTTTGGGAGGCTAATCAGGGCCCAATTTGGAACCGTTTGAGCACTGTGCAGCGAAAATTTAAAATTTTGTATTAGTCTAATGTATAGAGATAAAGCTCAAAAATACAATTTTAACTGATGATACTTTATAAACATTAAACTGTCCAATATTGGACCCTGCCAACACACGGCGCCTGCACGGTAATGTGGGCCGTCAGAATGGTTCATCGGTTGCGAAGTGAAGTGCTTCTCAAACTAAAGCGATACATTTCTCAATTTTTCAACGTTATACTAACGTAAACTTAATATTATCACCCATATGCCCGTCCACGCCCGAAACCCATCCACCACTCAAAATCAAATAAAAATGTTTCTGTATGGCAAACACGGTCCAGACACGAGGGGGCGACACATCTAAATCCCAATGCTAGATGCTCAACAAATCTCACATTAGCGAATCAATCTTCGAAAAATCTTCTTTCATTTCTCGAATCTACTTGGATCGGCATCATATTTTTGAAGAAAATCTTCAGAATCGTCATGAATCTTCTTTCTATCTACTCAGCGTGCGCGCAGCTAACCACATTAAAACACAATTTTTAATGCATCGTAGATAGAGTCGCCCCCCTCGGTCCAGACATAAACGAGAATACCTATGGGTGTATATCTTCACTGTAACAACTACGGGTAATCATCGACAGTATTTGCAATTTACTCAGGCACTTTTGAGCAAACTGCAATCACTCTCTCATACTCGAAATGGGCCACGACCAAATTGGCACAACGACCAAAGCGCAGGGAGTAATTGAATGTATGTACCTAGTTGAAACAAAAGAAAATCTTTTTTAAACTCAACAATTCGATATTTTTGTTTTAAAAAATGGTTATGGTTGAATCAACAATATTTTATTTTATGT